ACTGCAAAACAACAGATCTCTGGGAAGATGACCTCTGTGTTTTATTTCTTTGATCTCAGACATGGAGATACAGAAAATGAAGAATTACAGGCTGCTATGTAAACTTTAGAGCTGGACTTACTGCCACTTCATATGTTGGAGGATCATTTTCCTGTAGCTGAGGACTCGAAACAGAGGTGTATTTCTTACCTTTAGATGTTTTATCTAGTACTCTTTGTCCATCCTCACAATGTCAAAATGGCCATCTTCCCCTGATCCAGCGTGGTGTCCCTCTTATGGGAGACAGTCCTCCATGAACTTTCTCCAACATGAATCCTTTCCCCAGGCTGCAGCTGTTCCTGAACCGCTCCAGCGTGGGTCACTCCCGCGTGTTGCAATCCTCCCAGTGATGAACCACAACAGCGAGGGCTTCTTCCCATACAGTCCTGGCCTTCGGAATCACCTGCTCCAGCGTGGGGTCCTCCATGGGCTGCAGGTGGGTCTCTGCTCCACCACAGACCTCCGTGGGTGGCAGGGTGGGTGGCCCTGCTGTCTCACCACGGGATACAGGGGGGCTCTGCTCTGGCACACCTCCCCCCCTTCCTCCTCCTTTCTTACACTGACCTTGGTGATCACATAGGTGTCCTTCTTGTAACTCCTTCTCACAACTCCCACACCTCCTCCCAAGTTCCCTTTCTTAAATACATTATCACAAAAGCTGAGCCCCTGTTGCTAATTGACTCGGCCTTGGCCAGAGGTGAGTCCGACTTGGAGCCAGGGGAGCTTTGAGAAGCTTCTCACAGGAGCCATCCCTGTAGACCCCTCCCCTCCTACCAAAAAACATGCCACACACACAAACCCAGCACAGGTATGTATTTAAACTACAGAAATTGTTTGTGCTTTGAGTGAAATGCTGTTTCTGCTGTATTTGGTAAAGGCAGATGAGAAGCACAAAGACTTTTCCTGCAGTATTTCTGATGGCTCAGGAAACAAGCTTCATCACTTTTTTTTATGTCTTTGGATATAAACTGTTTCAATAACTTATAAAATACTAAATATTTTAAATCTAGATAATCAAAAAGCTAGAGCATAGCATTGGACTTTTATTCAGACAAATAAAATCACTAGCCTCTGATACCATTTCAATTTATACTAATCAAATCTAATCTGTACATACATCTCTATGGACAGATAATTTTATATAAGACAATTATATTTAAAAGCACTTCTTAAAAGAAAGAAAAGTTAATGAATAGTATGGTTAAAATTATCCAAACATGTATTTTGTCTTAAACTTTTATTAGACAACAGATGAAGTAGAATCAATAGTGTAGTGTGAATTAAAAATAATATATTCCTACAGGTTCTGTGCATCTGTTGTGCATGATTCTATAATGCGTATATTGACTTTGCCCTCTCAGAATATCACTCCATGTTTGATAGAGTAGGTTCAGGATACCTGAACAGTTGGGTAATTCCCAGTAATAGCTTCTCTAGGGTAGTAACCATGACTTTTTTTAAAACAAGAGTAAAGCTTATCCTTTACATGTGAATGGTCAAAGGACCCATCAGAAATGTTAACACGTCAGAGAATTCATTTGCTGTTCATTGTACTATGTGGAATAGCAAATCTGCATTTAAAAACATTTTAATTTAAAAGAACAGTAGTACAAACAAACAAAATTTCAGAGCTGTACCAAAACAAAATACGATGTGATTACCCATTTCTTCTTTATTAAAGAGGAGGCAGCAGATGCTGTTTGATGTAAGATGTTCTCAGATACATACTAGCTAGAGCATGTAAAAACTTACATGGAATGCAATAGAATAAAGTGAAGAAGGAAGAGGCAGCAGCACCCTTGCTAAATTTGCTCTCGTCCCTAATTGCCCCTAATGATGGGAGATATAGTAGTAACTGCTGTGGACTTGTAAACTGGTAAGATGCACTTTACAACAGGGTGTAAAGCCAGTGCAGTTTGCCGAGCCGTACCACTAGATGGAGGCAGATATTGCATAGTTCACATCTAGTAAGCAGGGTGAGATGTGCCAGTGGTAGCCGTTGTCTCCAAGGAGAGGTCCTTATGCGAGTGGCAGTGCAACAGGAGTTCAGCAAGAGGTAAGATGCTGCTCACAGCTAGTCAGTGGTACCTTTACCCACTCTGAGGACAAAAGTCCTGGCTCCTACTTTCTTTCACATGCTGTGAGTGCTGCTGCCTCTTGGAGATGCCTTCTTCAAGACTCGAGAGTGCCTCACTCCCACCTTGTGCTGTCCCTGCTGCAGACCACTCAGCTCATGTGCTTGCTAGAAGCTGTCTCCCAGATGTGTCCCATTGGCAGGACAGTCCACCTGGAGGATATTCCTGTGGAGTTTTATCCCATTCTTTTTAGTTCATACAGAAATTAATCGTGCAGTATTTGTTCTCATGCCTTCCTCATTTGTCAGTACACTGTCTCCTCCAGCATGGTGCTTGGATTGTCCCATGCATCCTTAGGAATGGTTCTTTCTGCACAGTCTTTCCTCTGATGATGTCTGTCTTTTATATCTGTTTTCACTTTAAGAAGCACTAGTGAGTGACTTGAGCTCAGTAAAGAGCATGGTGTGTCTCTTTTTTGTGTTATGTTCCCTGTGGGGACTTTGGCCAAGAAAACACACTACTTTCTGTCAACATTGCATCTTTTCAGGACCCCTCAGGTTGACCCAAGTTGGTCGAACATCCACACAGGTCATGGAGCTCACTAGTCCCATTCTTTGTAGTCTTTAATGCAGACTAAGATTTGACCCTCTATTCTGGGACTTCCTGTTTTCCTCATACCTCAAGACACCTGTGGACACGTACTACCACTAGCTACTTCAACTTTGAGCTTCATGTGGAAAACATGGCTAGTAACTGGTGTGAGTGTTTTCAAACTTCAGTCTTACGACAAGTGAGAAACCTTTCTGAGGGGGAACCACTTGAGGGAACTATGCTTCATACCTGATCCTTACCTATCCTTTACACTCTGTATGTCTGTCAGTGACTTATTTCAGCCATCCTACCATCTGGTGCTCCTTCTTGCAGCCGATATTATTAGGTTAGATGGACTGAACTAAGAGGAGTTCTTTATGGAATAACTGCTGTCCATCTGACAAGTCTGGAACTCTAATTTTCTCTCCTCCCCTCTTCAGCTGGTTGCTCCCTCTCCTTATGGAGGAAGAGACTGTAGAGTTGCTCCCTTGCCATTGCTGGAGGCACTTCTAAGACAATCCCAAGGGATCCCATGGATAGTGAAGATACTTTTTCTGAGTATCTTGAAGATAAAGTGTCATCTAGGAAGGGAGTGATTAGAAGAGGTCAGAAGGAAAGCAGGAAAAGGTAGTTTCCTAATGTGACAGAGAGGAATTGACCTTCATTCCTTACAACTTGTTTCACATCCCTTCCAGCTTCAGGGAGCCAGGAGGAACAAACCCCAGAGATCAGTTGGTACCCAGGAACTTGACTGGGAGTTAGACTTACCTTGGGACTTTGGGAAGTGTATTAGTGTTTAGATGCTATCCTAGGAAATGTTTATGTCTAGTGACTGAGAGAGCAGGACATGAGTCTTCCTAATATAGGTAGATTAAAATTACCTCTCCTTCTTTCTGCCTGGCCCTTTAATTGCAAAAGATGCCACCACTTTCTTGTGTCCTATGTTGCCCACGAGCAGACTTCCTTCTCTCAAGTGTCCTGCACCAAACCTGGGGCTGAGCAAAACTTTTTCCCAGTTGTATGTAGACTCAGAGCCCTTGCATCACCAGGCAGCTACTCTTGAACTGGAAAAGGCTTTTGGATAAAGGCCAGGAAATGCTGTCAATCTTTGGAGAGACTAGATGTTTGTGCACATTCGGCAAATGAGTTGAGGTAGAAGAAGCCTTCTCTCCCATCAGGGAGCATAAAAAAATCTCCTAATGGAGAAACCATTAGTCCCGTAAGAGTTTATCCTGTTAAATATGCAAAAAAGCTCCAGTATTTGAAGGGCAGTGCCTGTGTGCAAAGTAAGATATTCTCATCAAATCCTTCCTAACCTCTCCAAGGACTGAGTGCAGTGGAGGCTTTGAAGTTTCTCAGGTGATGCTTTGCTCAGGGACCCAGGAAGGCATGACCATTTTCTCCTGGGATTGAGAGTCATGGATTCATTTTCCCATGTCATTTCAGCTCTTTAGTTATGACAGGAAGACAGGCATCCCACCCTGCACCAGAGACTAGCTCAGACCCCCAGGACAAGTAGCCAGCTCCAGCAACCAGGAGGTCATCCTAGTGTTTCCAGGGTTATGTTTGTCTGTGCTTGTTTTTGTTTTCTGGCAATGTGGGATTAGTCTTCCAAATCAGGGAAAGAGTATTCCTGTTTGTTTGTTTGTTTGTTTGTTTGTTTGTTTGTTTGTTTGTTTGTTTGTTTGTTTAAAATTTCCAAATACTTCAGAGGTGTTTGAATATCACAGTGGACAATAGGAATCCTAATTCACTACTTCTCAAAACTGCTTCTCTGGCAAGCCAGGGAGGACACAAAGTTGAAAAGCTGTTCAGTTTGGGAAAGCATCCCAGCCCATGCTGAAGGAAGCACTGTGGAGACTTTCTCCTCTATGTGTGAGCTGTATGGAAGCATGCTGTGATTCTGAGGAGGCAGCAGTAGATACTTGTGAAAAGCCAGGACATGCATGGGAACAGAAAGGAATCCGGGAACGGGGTTTGTAACTCCAGCAGCAAATGCATACAGGCTCTTTAGGTACTTCTACCTCTGTTCAGAAGGATATTTGTCTGTCTGTCTATCACACATGCAGAAGTTATTTAATCCCCCAGTGAAATGCCAGAAGAAAAAACAAACATTAGACAACAGAGTATACAAGATTGGGCTTTTTTTAATTGTTGAGTGAAATTATATAAAGTGCAAATAAATCAATGGAAAAATTCAGGGAGAGAAAGTGCAGTCTAGGAGTTTACCACTTTAATTAACTAGAGAATTAAAATTGTTTTGGAACACCAAAACAACTAGATGTGAATTATCTGGTCTATTTGAAGGACTTTCTTCAAGAGTTTGATGACTTTCTCCCTGTGGGAAAGAAGAACAAAATATAGAGACTGTTTTGTGTACTGGAAATGGACAGTGCAGATAACTACATTTTATTCTTAGTGTTCCTCTAGCATGCCCTGAAGGAAGGTGGTGCCTAAAGAAAAACAAACCTGGCAAAGTTTACCTCATGGGGTCAATTCTGGTTATGCTACACTCCTACTGCTGAGTAGTTTCTGCCTTCACTGAACTGTCCCATTGATTTGATGAGTGGCACTATCTCCCATTTCCCTGCCAGTAGCCCTACTCACTGTAATAGCTCATTTGCAGAACAAGGTCCACCAAATTTGTTTGGCAATATATAGGTGTGTAGGAAGACAGTGTGCCAGGCCACTGCACTTCTGCTCTGTCAGCTTTTGGCTGAAGTGGAGACATGCTACAGAAGGAACATAGTGGACAGAGTGTACAGGAATGTGTTTTTCCCAAGTTTGTTCCCCTTCTTTCTTTTTGGTAATATGACAAGACCCTTGCAATCAGGGAGAGTAGTAAAACCTGTAGCCCAATAGGTTTTATCTTGAAAATCAAATCTTATCGTGACTTTACCGTATAACTTCTGAATTCCTCGCTTATCATCCTCTGAAAGTCTGAAGCTTGCTGGGTTCACATATTTGTAGATAGGATACATCAGAGCATGACGGACATTTGAATGAGCAAGTCCCAAAGAATGGCCAAATTCATGAGCAGCAACAAGGAACAAATTAACTTCTGAAGCACGGAAACATAGAAAAGTATGTTAAAGGTATGGCATTTCTTTTTAGCATACAAGGAATTGAAGTAGCAAGAGAGTTTCTCTCTTTCATTCCCTTGGAATGAAACCTCTGAGTTTTGATCAGTTATTACTGAACTTTCCTATGTAACTATAATATTTTAATAAAAACATCACTGATCCCTTGCATATGCATCTAGATACCCTGAGTCTCTTTCCGACTCTGCTTTTGGTCAACCTTATTCCTACAAGCAAGTCATTTTAACTTTTTGTAATTTATGTAGAAAACAGAGGCCCATAGTCCTTTTTTAGCCTGTGAAAAGTACTTTAAAATATGGACAGAACAAGTATTATATAGTTGATAATGATAATGAAGTACAAGTACTTAAGTAGTTGAACAGAAATGTTGGTACTGAAATGGTACTGAAGCATGAAGAGTTATGAAAAGCATTTCCTATGGATGTGTTCTTCTAACATGTACAATATTTGCCTTTCCCCTTCATAAACACATGTGGGTTTTACCTTTGTTGTACTCTGACCACCTTTCATCATCATCAAAATGAGCATCTCCACCAAGTCCTTCTCCAGGTGCAAATGCATGAGCTAGAGTATTACCTCTTCCATCAAAAGGATATCCATCACCATGCTCTGCATTTGAAAAGAAATAAATGTCATCAGATGGCATCAGCTGCAATGTTTACATTCAGAAAATTGAAGCATGCTGCTTGTTTGAGTTTGTTTTGTTCATTACCAATCCTTAAAAAAATTCCTACAATAGCAGCAAGGTTATAAAAACAAGGATCAAGGCTTAGGAAACAGTCTCCAAATTCATGACTTAAATGCAAAACTTGTATTTGATAATTCAGGTTGCTGCATGTTTCAGAGAGAGCTGAACATTTATTTTTGAGCCTTTGTCAGAAATGTGGTTCCAAGGTATTTTTTCAGAATAAATACTTAATGCTTGACAACATTATAAGCACTTGAATATTTTCAGTGTTGGAAGGTACTAAGCAACATCAGTTGTAGACATTTTCACCTACACTGATTTTAGTAGAAGACAATGATCTGGGATAGATAACCATGTTCTTGAAGAGCTACGTTTATTTGTCCCCAGCCTTGGGGTACAGTCTGTTACCTGCTTCTATCACAGTACATGTGAAATGTTACCTTTTCCTACTTCAGCAAAAGATGACAGGATGTTATATTTATACCAGCTCTGAAAATTTCCCCCAACCCTGTAGTGACCCTCTGACTTGACTGAGGAGTACTTGGGGACTCAAATGTCTTTTCCCCCAGACCATGTGGATGGACCCTGGGGCAAGGCTAACACAGGCAAAGAGACCTAGTCCTAGTGTGTGATGAGGGATTAAAACCCATTCCATCTTGCAAGATCCTTTCTCACTTTGACTGGCACATTAGTAGACTCTTCATGGCAACATAATATGCTTCCCATCAGTGAAGCATGAGCTTGGGACATTTTGGTGTTTATATGCTATCATCTACTTGTAAGCCAGGTGTCTGATGATCACTTATAGGCAATGGAGATCTAGTAAATATTATCAGTGGATCTAGAGAACAAGTCAGCTAACCTTAAAGTAGACATTTAGTTTGGCTAAGTTAATGCAGTTTATGTGCCAGGCACAAGTTAAAGATATGGCTACATTCATGTATTTGTCTGGATCACAAGTGAGCTTCTGAAGTGACTCTGCTGGTCATCTGCATTTAACATGCTTTGGCTTGCATCTTGGTGCAATCTTGGAGTGCACCAGTGGGATTCTTTCTAGAAGATCAGCTATAAGATACTCTTCATAGCCAAACTTTATGCACCCCAGCTGCCAAAGCAGTTTAGTCCAGAGAACCAGACTAGATCTAGACCAAAGTAAACCTGCCTGAATCCAGTTTGTGGAAGCTGGATCTTCAGAACTGGCTGGGTTGCTCTAGAGATCTGTTCCCATTAATTTGCACTATTTGTCAAGGCAGACAGTCTTGAACATCTGAGTTTAGATGTCTTATTCTGGAGCTGAATCATCCCTCCATTTCTCAGCTGTAACTCTGAAAGGATTTTCTAATGGTTTTATAGGAATAAAGCTGAATCATAACATATAAATTTGGTGGCTTGATAAAGAGAAGATAAAATTTATGCAGACCTCAGAATAATTCCAAACTCTTTGTTCTTTCTTAAAGCTGTGGCTAGAAAAATACATGCTTTGAGTCAAATATGGACCATTACATTTTAAAAATTACAGGTATTCTCACCACGACGTGCGAATGCAATCACAATGTCTGCATGTCTATTGAATACTCTTTGGAACTTCAGTGGAGTCACATCACTCCATACCATAAAAGCCCTTCTAATTGCATCATCCACTTTCTTTTGGGGCAGATCAGGTGTATAATTGACAATCCTGGCAGCAAAAGGAAACAAATTAATGTCATTTAGGGTGTGAAGGAAACCCACATAATTAAATACAAAGCAACTCCTTTCCCCATAAACCTGAAATATCACTAACTTGTAAGTCAAATGTGTCTTTTTCCATCTTGGATTTCCAGGAAATGTGTTGTAACCTGCTATATCAGGGACTCCGCATCTGGGCTGTTTCATAATTTCTTCTGTTTCTGCATCTAATTTTCCAGTTATAGTCAGGTGGAAGAACCTCTGCATTTCTTTAATTCTGTCTTCTAAGCTTAGGCTTTTTGGTTGTGCAGAAACTGGATAGAATTTATCAAGATATGCCTGGAAGAAGAGAAGGAAAATAAAAGTTAATACATATATCTGTGATCTTTTGGTAATTGCATTTTACATTTGACTGAATTGTTTCATCATCCTGCAGTCATGGCTAGTTTTAGATGTATTTTTAATTCCTGTTTCAGTTTACCAAATGCTGTTCTCTCTATATTTTAGATTAGAAAATACAAAATAAAAATTGCAGTATTAGTGAAACATTGTAAGCAAGCAATCCTTTTAAGTAAATACAATTTACAGAGCGTTCAAATCTGCAGCCTTCCAACATAGTCTACATAATATTTTTGAAATGTTTTAAAAATTGCATGCTCCCATTTGTTTACCAGTTGGAACTCAGTCTCTTTTGTAAGTTAGATTTAAGATGTCTAATCTAGTCATCAAGTTTAAATTGTTTTATATCACCTCTGCAAAAACTGTTGTGGTAATGTAAGATAAGAAGCTAATATAAACAGTTAGGAAAGAAATGTAGAAGCTGAACCAAAGATCATGTTATTCATAATGCAGTTACGTTGTCCCCCTGTTAACATACCTTTACATTCTCAAAGGCTGTGTTACTCTGTGATTCTTGTTGAAGTTGTGCTGGAAAAGCAAGATTCTCAGGTAGGAGGATGGCAGCGCAAAGTATGAGGTATTGCATAGTGTCCAGCTTGTCAAGGAGCCTTGCTACAGCAGAAAGGGTTTGACTTTCTGTCTCCCAAGACCACAGCTAAAATGCTTATATAGATACTGATAGCTCCAAGCAGCAATTGCATATGTGAATCACTTTTTGGTGGTGTTAATGTGATGTCATCACTATTCTAAGAAGTAAATGAAAGCACATTAAACAAATCTTTCCTTTGACTTCCCTGTTGATGTCATGTCACGGCTAGCAGCCAATGTTGGCTCTCTCTTTTCATTTTATTCCAGTAGTGAAACCACAGGGTCATAGGGAAGTTCACTTTCTGTAACTTCATCAGTACAGTTACTGTATAATCACTTCTTACAGTGCTTTCCCCAAGCTCCTTATACACAAAGGCATTTTGCAACCAACTTTTGGTCAGACAGCCTGCCTGTATTAATTGATGCAAAGGCACAGATGAGATGTGTGGGAGTGCTATGTCACCGCATGCACAACCCTGTCTAGGTAATTTTTCTGAGTCAAATTCTCTTGTGTGGTATCCTATGCTGCAGGAAATCCAGTTCAGTGAAGTTAAAGACATGTCTGCTGTTTTTACAGAGATCAGAAAAGAGCTCTTTAAATGTGTCTTCTAGGAACAGGAGGCCATGGGAAGCCTTTGTCCCCTTCCTCCCAAATGAGATGGCCTTTCAGGAGAGTCTCTTTACATTGGAGAATTAGATATAAAACAAAATTTACAAGAATGGGTGAAAGCCCTTGGAAAAAAAGAGGAGCTTACCCTGACAAATGTGGAGCTATCTTCTAACTTCAGCTGTATCAGTGCAATCTGATGGAGGTCCATGAAGTACTGGCAGAGAAAACCAAAGCTGAGCATGGCAGTCACAACCTGCCTGATGCCCTGATACCAACACTGGTCTCAACTTCACTCCACCAAGAGCCACTGAAAGTGATAGTTTTTGAGGACTGGACACAAAAGTCCACAGGCTGGCTTGTTATTTTTTTTCTGGCTGTGCCATTTTATGACCGTATTACCTCTAATCCAAAGGGAAAGGCACGTAAGTGGGAAAAGACAGTTACTGTTTCTCACAATAGGACAGCTTGTATGGGTATAGCTGAACAGGTATGGAAGACTTTGTTGGTTACTAGCTTAAGTCCAGTGTACTGACTGATGTGGCAAGAAAGACTTTGATTTCAGAGAGTAATGATCTATACCAAAACACTGCTGAATTATGCAGGATAGGACTACATTGCACAGTAATGTCTGAAACAGTTGCTAGAGGAATGATGATTCCACCTGATCTTCGTAACAGCCCAGGTACCCACCATGTGATCATTTCTGTACATTTTGGTAGGCTTACAGGAATTATATCAATGTCCAAATTTTAAAGCTTGATGAAAAAAGCTGTTTTATTTTTAGGAGCAAGTTAATCTTTTTCTTCCTCAACAACTGACTTTATGTCTGACTGTGTCAGTAAAGTAGGATCTGCACCAGTGTCTGGGTGGCAGGAGATGAGGATGTTTTTAAACCACTTTGAACTCCATGACTCTACTCTATGGTACTGATTATTTCCTCATATACCCAAGAAGAGGAATTTGAAAGCCTCCGGAACCCCATTCCAGTTAACAGACTATTGAGCAACTCACATATATCTTTAACTAGGCCATGTAGGCCATGGGCAAAACTGAAAAGGAGAGTGTAAGGACAAGAGCTTGCTGAGAAAGGACAGGCGTTTTGTTCTATTTTATTTTCTGTTGGAAATTTGTCAATTCTCTTTTTTTTTTTTTTTTTTTTTTTCAAAAAAGAGGGTTTTGTTGAATATTGGGCTTGAATTAAAATAAACCTCAAACTTTCTGTGAAAAGAATTTTAATTTCTCTGAGCTCAAAATCAGCATCTAGTTCTACCAAGATCAATAGCAAAAGGAAATGGATGATGATTTTTAGATTTAGCTGTGTGAATTTTGCAGACTTTCATCTCTTCGTCTTGATCTTAAATGACAAAAATGGTTGTGGGTTGGGAAAAATAATTTCCTGACCATACATCATAGTCATATCATTTACATTCAGCAGAAAACCTGTACCTATGACAGAGAAAATGGCCTGTATAGAGAAAGTTCAAAGAGATCAGAAGAAATGCTATTAGAGACATTTAATACTAGTAGTTGGTGAATTCACACAGTGAAAATAAAAGTGCTCCATGATGTAAAATTCTATTAAGAAGACTCACAACGTTGCCACTGAAATGTTTACACTGTGACATTTTCTGAGATGAGTAATCCTGCGTGAACAAGGATGCTTCATGAAACTATGTCCTATGTGGAACTCATTGATGAGTATCAGAGCTTTTGTGGTCTAGAGAAAAATACATATATAGAAACTAAGACCTGAGCCTCCTTTGGACAAGAGTAGGATGAAAAACTGAAGTAGAGCTGAATGATTCAGTGGTAAATAATCACTGTTTCTTGGCCATTTGATTTGGACAGGAGGGTCAGCTGGATTCTGCCCAACCTGAATGCAGCCAACAGTGGAATTAATGCAAGTCAAGAGCTTCTCAAATGTCTTTGTGAATGTTATGTGTCTAGGTGGGATGGAGTTAACTTTCTTCATAGCAGCCTGTATGGTGCTGTGTTTGGGTCTGTGGCTAAAACAATGTTGATAACACACCAGTGTTTTGGGAACTAGTGAATAGTGTTTGCACAGCATCAGGGCTTTCTCTGTTTCACACTGTCCTGGATTTGAGTGAGTGGTGGGATTTTTGGTAGCAAGGGAGGGGGATACAGTGGTGGACCCCTGTGAGAAGCTTCCCGAAGCTCCCCCAGCTTCAAGTCAGCTCCACCTCTGCACCAAAACTGAGCCGATTGGCTGCGCCTCTGCGATAATGTATTTAAGAAGGGACGTGGTGAGGAGGAGTCAGACTTGTGAGGAGGAGTTGCTGCAGCTGCGTGAACACCAAGGTCAGTGGAGAAACGGAGGAAGAAAGGAGGGGGGGGAGGTGTGCCAGAGCAGAGACCCCCCTGTATCCTGTGGTGAGACGGCAGGGCGACCCCCCCCTGCCACCCATGAAGATCTGTGGTGGAGCAGACACAGTTTTATGGCCTGCGAGGGGCCCCCTCATGGGCGACAAAGGTGACTGTGCCTGAATAAGGACAAGATCTTGTGAGAAGAAGCAGCCCCCACTGTTGAAGTTCGTCACTGGGAGTATTGCAGCATGTGGGGGTGTCCCACGCTGGAACAGCTCAGGAAAGGCTGCAGCCCATGGGAGGGACTCCAGTTGGAGAAAGTTGGTGACCTACCCTGGAGCAGTGTAGGGAAACTCTGTGGTCCGTGGGAGGGACTCATGTCAGAGACGGTTTGTGGAGGACTGTCTCCTGTGAGAGGGGGACCACGATGGAGCAGGGGGAAGAAGTTCCAGAAGTTCCCCCCACCAAAGATGTAAGAAGCAGCAGCACTGACTGCACCCCCCATTCCCTGCCCCTGCGCCACTGGGGGTGGAGTTAGAGTCATTGGGAGCAGAGCTGAGCCCAGGAAGAAGGGAGGGGTGGGGGGGAAGGTGTTCTCAAGATGTGGTAATGCTTCTCACTGTCGTACTCTGTTAAGTATTTTTGTTAGTGTAATATATGTATGTTATTTTTTTTCCCCCTAACAAGTCTGCCTTTTGCCCATGACTATATGGTAATTTGCCCCTCCCAGTCCTATCTCTAATCCCATGGCTTATTTTTTCCCTTCTCATTGCTGGGAGGGAAGGGAGGAGTGAGTGGCTGTGTGGTGCTCAGTTGCTCTCTGAGCTCAAACCATGACACTGCCCCCACACCATATGGAAGAGATTGAGTGGGAAAGAGGCTGAGAGGGGACATAGCCAGGACAGCTGACCCAATTTCTCCAAAGAGATATTTCATATGATAAAACGCTGTGCTCAGCAATAAAACTGAGCTAGCAGAAGAAGATGGAATGAGAGCTGTCTTCCAAGGTAGTCATTGCCTGGAGACTGGCTGGACATCAGTCTGCTTGTGGGAGGTGGTGAGTCTTTATATCAATTCCCCCCCAACCTGGCCCCCTTTTCGCTTATTAAACTGACTGTATCTCAATCCATGAGTTCTCTTTAGCATTTCCTAATCTTTCAGCCATCCCACTGTGCATGGAGAGTGAGTGAGCAGCTATGATGTGGGTGATTATCTGCTGGCTATGGTCTACACAATATAGTGAGTATCAAGCAAATAGAATGGCCAAAAAATCCTGGGAAATAGTTTGTATAGGTCACTTGTGAATTATGAAATGTTGTATTTAAGGTCCTACCAAATTGGATAAACCTGGATTCTTATGGTCGCCAGGATATATGATTTGCTTTGTTCTGTTATCTGGTTACTCAATTTGACTAACAAAAATTAAAATTCAAACAAGGCAAATATTTCTGCAGAGTAAAATGATCTCCTGCACTGCAATTTCTTGAGGCTAAGCCCGATGAGGCACAGTCTGCTTCAAAACCTTCTTGGTATTTTTCCACAAGATGAACCTTCATCCTCCTTCTTGTCTCAGCTTCACATGGCACAGTCTATTTGGATGAGAAATGGCCTCTGAGCAACACAAATCTGAAGTCCCCTCATGGTTTTTATGGGCTATTTTTCTTGGCTGGGGCCTAGACTGTAGAGGGAGGCACATCTCCATGGATTCTGCACTCCATTTCCGTAGATTTTACCCCTGAGAGGGCTCTCTTCAAAGAAGTCCCTTGGCATCTGGAATCTAAGGCTACATACCCCTTTTGCAGGTTCTGTAAGGGTAGACACCTCCAGCCATCCCTGTCTGGGCACTGAGGTCCTGTTGGGGCCCCTCAGCACTGTGACAGCCTGTCCCTGGAGAGAGGCAATCCAGTTCTTCCCTCCTGTTTGGCTGGATCAAGCTGTATTGAGCTATTTCCCAGTGAGATCTACCTCATATCTCACTGTTTTAGGGTAGGAAATGGCATTCCTGTAAATTTTACCTACCTGTGTTAGTTCTGACATCATCCATCTTTTAATTTGTCTTCTCC